GCGACACTCATTCCCTTCGCGGCGTTGCTGGCGTTTCTGGCCTCCCAATTACGAGGGGATGCATGCTGTCCGGGCTGTTGCGCTTGAGAAAATTCAGGGTTGGGGGACAACGCGAAGGGGTTTGTGGCAGGGCTTTGAATGCCGTTGCTGGGTGAACTTGGCACAAACTCTCCACGCTTGATTGCCTTAAACTGTGCGACGGCTCTGTTGCGCTCTTCTACATCCTGTGGGCGGCACCAGATTGTGTGAAGGAGACGGTTTACGATGAGGCTACCGGAGGCACTGGTTCAAGGAGTATCCACGCCATGGTCGTTAAGGAGAAAACGAATCCTCTTGTAGATTTCATAATTGACTGTCACCATGGGATCCACGAGTTCGCGAGGTTCAAGGTCTTCACGAATCTGTTGTAGGAGAGCATCGCCTCTAGGCACTGGGTACTGTGTGGAGTATCCATAGAACAGATTGAAGAGACCCTCCTGGTGTGCATTACTCAGGCGTATGTCGCCAAATGGACCAATTTGCGGGTTGTCAGCGGGATCGGTCACGGGGGGAATCGGGGCAGGGAGGCTCGGGGCCGGTGGGGAAGGAGGGGACATGGTCAGTTCCTCTTTCTTTCTTTCAAGGGTTTGTTCTTCTTTCTAGTGTAAGGATGACAAAGAAGTCTTCCTTAATTCCGGAATGTCGGAAAACTCCTATGACAGAGTGTTCCTTCGAGGTCAAGTCTTCGGTCTTGTCCTAACGGCAGGCGCACAGGAGCCTGGGTTGTTCCTGTTGGAACACGGATCGGTTGAGGACGAGAGTTGTGACTACTCGCGCGGGAGAGTATCACCAATGTAGCAATAATGCTCCAATGTTTACTGATGTTCGTCCTAGCCCAAAAGGGAATGGAACTATTTCCAGAGCGAAACTCGTAGCCTAGTTCGCAATGCGCGCACTGTCTCGCGCTGTTCCTGGAGGCAAGGGGAGACACCACTAATTGCATTCTACACTATCACTGTACAGGCCCGGACCTTTGGCCTCTCTAGCATTTCTTACCTTGCTGTACAGCACATGCTGTACAGCACAACACGAATGTTCCCCGATCCTTCGACAGAAGCAACCCGATACTGTCAGCGGGTTGAACTTTACCTTCTGCTTAGTCGTAGAGGGTGATCTGAAAGCCCTTCCGCCAAAGTGAGGCTGCCGGGTACTTGTGTGGTCTCGCTCACGCGGGTAGGGGGAATTGTTGTAATACTTGCCCTGTCCAGTATACAGAATGCCGGCCGAGCTGTCATGGGAAACGGAACGCTGATTCAGTTGTGCACGATCGCGAATGATTGCTATCTTGGACTCTTTATCCAGTTGTAGCGCTGCTTCAAGCTTTGAGTAGAGTTGTTGGAATGTGAGTTGGTGCGTTGTCACTCTACTGAGCGATTCGCTGGACCATGGCATTCCTACAACAGCATTTCGGAGGAATTCAACCTTGTGAGCGTCTCCTTGATGGGAGCGCGGACCTTGACGGGAGAATTTGATAATTTACTTGTAAGTCAAAGCTAGACCAGCGGACATTTCCTTCCCTTCTGCAGCGAAAACAGTCACGCGGAGGGAGTTGAGATAGTTCTTGACCCGGGTTTGGCGGACAGGGGAGTTGTACTCCTCCTCGAGCATTTGGATAGCTTGCTGAAAGCTGGTCGCATATCCATCGATTTTGTCAAGATAATACCTTTTAGCATCCCCTCGCAGTAATTTGTGAAGAAACTGGAGTCGCTGAGGAGGACTGAGGTTGTAGTCCCTGGAAATATGAAGATAGTCGTCTACATACTCCATCCAGGACTCGCCCAAGTCCCCTGAGAATTTCTTCTCTTTCTCCTTCATTCGCATAGCGACGTTATGGGATACCTTCTCTGTCGGGATACGGAAGGATCCGCTTGTCCTTGGCACGGGTGATTGTTCACCATGGGAGGAAGAGCTGGGAGCATGGGGGCGTTGGCGGCGTTCTGCAGCAATGATTTCACGAGCCATTTTAATTGCGGCTTGTGTGTCCTCTGTCTCTTCATACAAACCGTGGAGTAGTGTCATGACCACACGATGAGAAGAGTGTTGCGCTAAGTTTGCTCCTTTCGCGTCAAGAAGTTTCGCAACTCTATATGCACCGCAGGAAGGTCACATATTTCCTGGCGGAACAGCGAAGCTGGTGGAAACATATCAGCTACAGTCCTTTTCAAATGGATACCGGTGAGGTCGGGCGTAGTCTCAAGGAAGCGAATAGATGATATGAATCCCTTTTGTGCACTTGTTAGAACTGTAAGGGCATCGTTTGTTAACCCCCGCATAAGTGTATAAGCGAGGGGCGCGGGTGCATCGTCTCCCACTTGTTGGCTTTGTGGAAGACTGGCCTCGTCACTAACTGGGGTAGTGGGAGGCATTTTGTATACCACTTAGTTAAGTGGTGACGGGTGGTGTTGCCAATGAAAAACAATAGCAACAAAAAAAACTTGACAACTGCGTCGATCGTAGATCGGTTGACCTTGTAAGGGTCCGACCCTCGGCGCCTGCAGCTCTTGCAGGTAGAAGAGGTCCGACCTCTGACGCCCGGAGCTTGTCCGGGTCAGGTAACGTCTTCAGCTGTCAACCTACTCTTGCGTTACGAGAGTAGGCGCGATGGTCCCTACGAGACGTTCACACCAGCCAGTATACAGTCCTAAGGGGTGTCTATTCTCTTGCGGGACTCTTGCGCGACCGCTAGTCCAGTAGTTGAAACCCTTGTCTACCCAGCGCACAACACCCCGGAAGATCACCACGCCCAGAAACACCAGGCTCGAAAGCCGACACCGTTATCTGCCCCGAAGGACCGGTGGGGTTCCCTGCCGGAGAGGATCTCCTCACGGTTCGAGTTGCCAGCCTTGCGTCACCAGGAAAAAGATCCCGAGTCAACCGCTCTCAGGCAAAACAAGGGTCTCTTCCATGTTCCAGCACCAACAAACCACTACCTCCACTTCCAACTGACCTTCAGACAAACGCACAACAACCAAATCAAACAATCCTCCCTTCTCCCAAACGTTTGTGGAGCGAGCGACGCGGCACAGCACTGACGCCGAGAGCGCGGGCGTGTGTGCAGCCGCAAGCGGCGGCGGCAACAGTAGCGTGTGGTTGCAGCAGCAAGCGGCGGCAACAGTGGAGAGTAGTTGCAGCAGCACAACGGGCGGCGGAAACAGAAGAGAGCAGCAGTAGCAGAGAGCAGCGGCAGCGACGAGCGGCGGCAGCGAGCGGCGGCGGCGCGCGGTAGCGGTATTAGCACAGAGCACCAGTACCGACGAGAGAGCGGCGATGGCGAGCGGCAGCGGCGAGCTGCAGCAGTGCACGGCAGGAGTAGCAGCTCAGAGCAGCAGAAGCGACGAGCGAGCGGCGGAGGCGAGCTGCAGCGGCGCGCAGCAGGAGTAGCAGCACAGAGCAACAGCGGCGGTGGCGTAGAGTGGCGGCGCGCAGCAGCAGAGAGCGGCGGCGGCACCAGCAAGCGGCACCGGCAGCAGAGAGCGGCGGCGGCACCTGGGAGTGGCGGCGGCAGTAGCAGGTGGCAGCAGCAGGAGTCGTCGGCAGCAGTAGCGGGCGGCAGCAGTAGCACAGAGCGGCAGAGCACGGCGGGAGTGCAAGCAGCGGCGGTAGCAGCAGAGCGCGACGGTAGTAGCGAGCGGCGGCGGCGAGGGGTCGTGAACCGGCGAGACGCGACGAGTTGTGCGCACACGCAAGTGGGGAGTCGGCGGCAGGAACGGGAGGCGGGAGATCGCTCGCGCAAGGATCTCACGGATGGCCAATAGGAAGAGGGGAAAAGAATCTAACTCGAAATCAGCAATTAATTAATGTGGGATTTCCTGAGGAGTTCCTTTAAAGAATTAGAAAAAGAGATTTTATTAAAGTGTCAATAGACAGGTCTACGACCGACCGTCCGAGCCCGTGCGAAGTCCGTGCAGTCGGACAGTTTTCGCAGGTAGGCTCTGCGTTTTGACAAAAACCTCTGGCCCGGTACGAACCTACAGTTCGCAGCGCGAGCCCTACTTATATACTACTTAACCCTTACAGTATCATAAAGAAAGACAAGTTCTGACGCATCCAGCAATTACAGAAATGGATGCGCCTCCGTATCATACATTGTTTCACACTTATGGATGCGGACTTTCTCGGTTGTACTTCCCCCAATCCCTCCCCTTTTATCTATTATTCTACCCCCGCCCTTTCGATCCGGCCCCGTCTATTTCAAGCCTTCAAAATGTGTTGATATGCTAACATGGACGGGTTATGATTGGGCAATAGCGTGTTTATCAAAATAGTGTAGTCTTCACTAATATGTTCATTGAAAATTAGTCTGGTCTACTCTATCTTAGGTTGTGATGCATATAGTGCGGATACACATATTAGTGCAGTACGCATTATTACGTGTGAGGGTGAAAATATATCCTAGACTTTTTATAGTCTAGCCCAGACTAAGGGTGACCCCACCGCCAACAAAATTTCAGTCCTAAAATTCCAACTACTAAAGTTTGGACCGATGGAGTAACGTTTGGACCGATGGAAAAGATTTTGAACCCCACCGCGCCAGCATTTGTCCTAAAGTTTAGAATTTGGGAAGGATTCTTTTCCAAACCAAAATCATTTGGTCGAGTTTTTTTGTCCAAAGCGCCGTTTGGGCGAGCTTCGTTCTATAGTAACGGTACAGAAAAAAATCTGAATTTCATGTGCTTACAGCTCTACCAAAGCTCTTCCAAATGGCTTTGGGGCTGTTTTGACTGAAGTCCCATCAATAGTGTGGGACGCAAAAAGGAGTGTTGTGCAGCCTTCGCTCGTGGACATTTCCCATCTTCTCCCTCCTTCTCGTCTTTTGAGAAGTGCAGGCAATGGCTGAGGTGGTTACTAGGACTGATGACTCGGCAGTAAGAGTGAGGAAAAAGGGTAAGGGACTGGGGTGGTCAGACGAGGAGAATGTTGCCCTGTGCGTTGCTGAGAGCGCAGTTCCATAGTCCATAATAGGAATTGAATGCGTGGTGTACTTGCCGAGTTGATAATTCCCAAACAGGAGCCTACATATTATGGAGAGCGGGCAAGTGACGAGCAAAAGTTGCCGCCAATTGTGGAACGGACGCGTGCAGTAGCTTGCTTCTTTGCGCCAAATGTATTTCTACGACATACTTGTAGCCTAATTGGGGTGACCCTGAATATGATAGATGTATCGTGTTACAGGCGCGGTGGGGTTCATCTCTGAATCACCACCTCCCCCAAAGCGCGGCTTGATTAAAAGATAGTAGATCCAATTACCGGAGGACAACTGTCTGCTTTTTGCGATTTTGGGCAAGGCGCGGTGGGGTCACCCTAATTGCGATGTTTGGGTGTAGCTAGAGCTACTATTGGTAGACACCAGAGCCGTCCTTGATCTCTTTCCCGATGACCTCTGCCATGAACTCTGCGAGCATGTACGTCGACGCCATCGGTCCTGCTGACTCGGGCATATTCCTCAACGAAGAAGAATCAACAACCCTCAATCCTCGCACACCCTTGACGCGAAGTCCATCCGTCAGCACCTCACCCACGGCGCACCCCCCGACCATATGCCCTGCCCAGCCGGCGTTATCACGTATCCATCTCTCGGTAATCTGCCCGTCCGATGGGTTGGCCCACTTCGCGGTGAACCGCCTAGGCAACTCCTCATGTAGTCTGCGCAGGCGAAGCAGACAACGCTGCATGCGCAGAAAGTCCGCGCGCTTCTGCAGAAGCGCCATCTGCACATCGAGTGGTGCAGACGCGTTGCGCGTAGTCACACGCACGAACCCGCGCGAAAGGGCGACGTTGGAGTTGCAGTTAGTCGACACGATGCTGCGGTCCACGAGCGCCGGGAAGAAACTGCCGGTGCCCGTAAGGTATGCGTCGGCGCGGTCGCGTCCATTGGCGATAAACGACGAGCGCCCCAGCACACTGCCTCGCCCGGCATCCCACAATGTTCGCTGCGCTGTATCGTTTAGTAGTGTTGAATTGTTAGAGGGCTCGAGCGGGGCCTGGATCTCGCTGTCCAGCGCGGCGAACGGGCGCGCAACTGTGTGTGTCCCGACCGGGAGGCCGACGCGGACCGGAATGCCTGCCTTTTGAAGAACATCGCGCGGCCCAATGCCGGACAACTGGAGAAGCTTTGGCGAACCAAACGGCCCTGCGGTGACGATGAGCTCCCCTCCCGCAGCGACACGCAATTTGCGAGTGCGCCGCTCACCGGCGGAGGAGCCGGAGACGGTGTACTCGACGCCGGTTGCGCGCGGACGAGATTCCCGTGAGAGTAGAAGACGGGTTACGGAAGCGCCTTGTACTAGACGGAGGTTGTGAGCGCACTTCGTATTCAGGACGGGAGATAAGTAGGCGGTGCAAGAGTCGCGACGGACGCCGGCGAGATCGATGGCCATTCGGTTTTCGAAAAAATCAAAGGCTTCAGAAGGGTCAAAGGGGTCCTTGTTCCCTGTGTCGTATCCGGCGCGCCTTGCAGCGCCTAAGAAGGCGTCGACATGGCGCTGGCGGAGCGGCGGTATCTGAGCAGCAAAACCGATGGTTCGGAAGGCGCGTTGATAGTAGCGGCGTGCAGAGTTGGTGGTGAGGTTGCGGATGCCCCAGGTGTCGACAGAGCCATCACGCGGGACGACCCACTGCATGCCGTTGATAGCGGATGTGCCCCCGAGGGTTGCGCCTGTGAAGACGGGAACGGCGCGGCCGAGGAGGCCTGATGATGGCAAGGTACGGATCGGCTCGACGACGGAGGAGGATTGCCAGGCGAGCCACATCTGGCGCGGAGAGCGCACGAGGAAATCAGCGGCTGAGTTGCGCGGGGAGGCGCGCTCAAGTAGGGTTATGTTCCGAGTAGGAAGGGCGACGCATAGACGGGCGGCGAGGGCGCAGCCGGAAGTGCCGGCGCCGATAATGAGGAGATCCGGCGGTGTTGTGGCGCCGGCAAGGGTGACGAAAAGGGCGATTACGACACGGGCGAAAGCGGGAGGCATGGCAGAGGATAGAGGATATGGGAAGAGGGAAGCAAGTGCAGTTTGATGAGGAAAGTTGAAGGGATTGCACTTTGGCGTCATCGACAGACGACTCGGAGGTGCATAAAGGCCTTGTGGCAACTTGCGGAGGGAAGGAGCGGACAGAACTGGAGGACAGAAGAGGGCAGGACGTTGCGGAGGGCAGGACAAAAGGAAAGGCGAGTAGCGGCCGGCAACGCGCCTCGGAGGTCGATGATTCCTGAGGGCTGCCTTTATTGACGCGTTGCCGCGCTTTATGTACGAAAGTCTACGCGACGGTCTCGGGAGGAGAGAGGTTTCGCTTCGCCGCTCCGCCGCAAGGCCACAGGGACGTGCGCAGGCCATAGGGCCATCTAAACACAGTGTGATGCAGGGAATGATGACCACTGAGCAAAAGGGGAGGTGCCGTTGGCCAACGACATGAGAGAGGAATGACTGGGAGTCATATGAAGGAATCACCACACACAGCCGAAACGAAAGCGCGCCGGTTTCTCCACTTTACATTATTTCAGGCACTCCACGGAGCGTTTGCGCGCATGTATTGGGAGAAGCGAGAATGGGACAGACAACCTAATCCGACGGATCATACGTTGCGTGATTATTGCAATATCTAACATATAGGACATCCAATAGAAACGCGACAACAATAACCAGATTATTGTTAGAGTTAGTTAGTTTTTTTTGTCTGAAGACATGTCATGCATTTCAATTGGACGCTGCAGGTATGTCTGATGACAGAAAGGAATGATCTAAGACCGCGAATCAACTCCATAAAGACTTTATAGAGTTGACACATAACTTAGTTATGTGGTGTTTGGGGACAGAAATCACCAGGTCACTTTGACGATATACAGTGTAGCAAACCGACGCCATGGGCAACTACCCCAGACACTGTTCCATAACGCTTGATGGAGAGGAGAAACAGGTGGTTGATCTGCTACAGTATTAGCATTGTATTAGTGGCGATGAGTGAAATGCTTTGTAATAAAATGAAAAACAGCCCAGGGACAGACAGAGGCAGACTCAACACAACAATTGTGTTTGGCTGTCGCCGGCGTGAGGAGATTGGTGAGGCTGTTGCCTCACCAATCTCGTCCCGCCAAGCACAGGGCGACGTGGGCGGTTCTTGAACAATATGCCTACCCCACAGTTCCTTGCTGAGAAAGAGAGAGCCTGGAATGGTACAGAGTGTTCATCAATTTTATCAAGGGCGCATGATATCAAATCTCTTTGCAATTCGTTCTGGATCTCATATAATCGCGCCAGTCCTCGGGTCTGCCTTTGCTGCGCTGTGTTTCGATTCGAAAACAGCGTAGCAAAGGCAAACCCGTGTTTTCGAATCGAAACACAGCGTAGCAAAGGCAAACCCGAGGACGAGGTTGAAACTTTCAACATCGAAAGTCTCGATGTTCAAATATCTAGTTTCAAAGTATGACTATCTTTTCGGGAACCAATCAATATTATGCGTATACCAATTCTCCGCGGAAGAACTCGTGTGATATGGGAAGGCGCTGAAGAGAGGACAAAAAGAATTAAAAAAGTCGGTCCAAGGACAAATGCCATTCAAACTTCTCTTCGTATCTTTCACACCACTCACTCGCGCTTGAAGCCGCCTCTTCGTACTCAAAGATCTCTTGAAAGACCGTCCCAAAAGCGTAGCGGCCCTCTGCTTGGAGGATGCAGCGAAGACTATTTTCGTTTTGCGTTTTTTTGGGCATAGTGAGACGGGATCTAAGCTAAAGGAATAAAGACAGAATTGGGATTGTCATCTACAGAGAACATCGGTGCTTCTGTGTGAAAAGGGGAAGTTAGTGCAAGTGCCCATGCACACTGGTCCGAGCCTTGGCTTCTGGAACCGCCTGCTCTTCTCCCACTTGAGAATCTTTCTGCTCCTTTTTGCCTGGCATTCTCGTGTTACATGTCCCGAGCTGATACCTGGTTCATGTTTCCATGAGCAAAAACAATGCCTTCACTCTCTAGAAGAGACGCCTGCATCTCAGCACAGCCCCAACGACTGTCACTGCATCTGTAACACCGTCGCTTTTATTGCATTGGCCATGGCTCATGGAAGCGTGATACCTGCAAAAACGCACAGAATGGACGAGTTGCCGGCCTGTTGACGTCCCTGGTGGAATTCAGATTAATTCTGCAGCGACTTTTGGCAGCAGTTGAAATACGATCTCGTAAACTCAGTGCTACTGGATCCTCAAAAATCAGGTTAATGCCGAGATCCACCACCAAGGCGACCGCGAAAAATTCGCTGTCGTTCGTTCTCATAGATGTCGGCTAGACTGAGAACGTGTGCAGTCATCCTCGACAACTGCTTTTGAAAATGAAGCGGCAGCTTCGGCAGTTATCGAGGACATTCAATTATTGGAAGTACAGTATTACATTAGAGTACAAATTTAGAATGTCATTGTAGACACTATTTCTTTAATGTACTTGTCGTCGGCCGTAAAATCTTGCAGAACACCGGGAGAGCAATTTTGAATACAATGGAAGACTAAAAATGTATTGCAGATTAAACATCCAGTTGCTTTTTTGAATGAAGTATTCCTACATAGGGTTTCAAGGATGCTCACGAAAGCTTCTTTTCGAGACATTTCTAAAAATAACCGGGAAGGGCATGCAGTTCTCACCGACATTTTTTTTTTCTGCAAGGCAGAAGCCAAGTAGGGTGGCGAGGGTATCTTTTTCGTTCTTGTCGAACAAGTGCAAATCGGGAAAAAAGTTGAAAAGTGACCTCATATGAGGACAACGGTCCAATAGCAACAGGTTCCCCACTATGTCTTCAATGCATTTATCTTATGTTATGTCATTTGGTCAACTTCTAGTCTGTGACTCTAGATTCTCATGATTAGATTCTGGCGTCGCCCTCAAGTCATCCATAGTACATACAGCCTGTTCTTCTTTTGAAATCTGCAGCATTTCAGCGGAGTGGCTTCCTAAGACTGTCATGATAGCTTTTGAGCCCCCCAAAGGCCTCGCGCCGCGCTTAAACTTACCATCGAAACTGTCCCGAGCTCTCTCCGTCAATGCTCGCCAGACCCCCTGGAATTCTTCCCAACGTTTTGTAATTGGTTTGGCTTTGCCGCGGAGTAACGAAAGGCTTGAACATGATGATTTCTGGACTTGTCGCACGAACGGGCGTAGAGACTCCGAACCCTTATGTACGAGAGGCCTCATGCGGGTTTGAAGCTCTGATGCAAATGGTTCAAGGCGGGGCGTAATGCGACTTCGCGTCTCTCGCAGGACGAGATTCAATTGCTCATCCTCAACGAGAAGCATGGCAAACATGAGTACAACTACGCCGACAAACCAAAGAAGAACGCGACGTGGTATTCTCCAGTTGCGTTTTCTCCGTGTAGACCACACAGCGACAGTGTAGTCAGCAGAAGCTGTGAGTAGGTGTTCAGAAGATTTCGTGAAGGCCAGAGCGGTGACGGGTAGCACGTGCGGAGGCGTTCCCGGCCCCCAACTTAGCATATTCGCTTCCGTGCTCCACAACCGCGACAAAGATGTGGCATTCCATTTGAAGACCGATACGTGACCCTCAGAGGAACTCAGTGCCAAGAACTCAGCGCTCGAGTCTACCGCAAATGCCGTCACCGCATCTCTCGACGCTTTCAAACATGACACTGGGCTCCAGTTTCCTCCATCCTGATTTCTTGAGCGCCAGACGGCAACCCATCCACCCTTCCGCGGATTGCTCTCAACAGTGAAGAGCACAGAAGGATCTTTTGGCGCAAAACGGATAGCGCGGACATGTGTGCGCGTAGCCTCTGGCATAACAGGTCGAATTCTTTGCACGATCTCAATAGAGTCTGTCTTACACACATAAGCAGCACGATCTCGTGCGGTTGTCGCTAGAAGCGCGCCATCGAAGCTTATGGATAAGTCTGTAATGCCTTGCGAATGCAGTTGCTTGGAAGTCAACAAATCATAATGTGGGAGTTGTATAATAGTGAGGTGGCCATCATCAGATGCAACAGCTAAACGAGAACCACTTGGAGCCACTGTAACAGCTACCTGTTCGTCGGCGGCCGAAACCTGAACATCGTGATGAAAACTCGATAGCGGCACCAACGTCTCTGGCTGTTTCCGGATAAGATTCTTGCAACCAGTGCCCATAGCAGTGATAAGAATGCGTCCATGTGAGGCTACAGAGACAGGGGCGTCATCTAGGGATACAGAAGCACGTTGTTCCAAGGAATGAGTTTGCTCATCTAAGGATAACACTTCCTACGAATAGTTGCGCCACGAGCCCAGCAGAGGAAAAGTATCAGTTTGTGATTTATGCTTCTCAAAAAGTCACATCGCATATTAAATGTGAAGCATTCGGGCGTGAAACAAAGAGGAAGTATAGACGTACACATGCGTTTGGGATTCCGCTCTTCATTCGGCCCCCACCACCAACAATCGCAAAACATCCATCATCGAGGACCTCCATCCCATAGATGGGGAACTCAACCACATATCGACTGAGAGGTTTCATTATTGTTTTTCTGCGAAAAACTGAGCGACACGCGAATACAGAAAGCCAAACCGTGCAACTCAGTTACAGGGAAGTCGTTCTCCGTCAATGCGGGATGGCATATGAGACGATTTCGCAGTTTGCCGTACTTATAGATTCAAGATGTTGAAGCATTCACGCCTCTTGCTCTCGAAATCTGTCGGGAGCAAGAACGATGAGGAACAAAGGAGCCCGGGGAGGCCCTGCACATGAAGTGTCCAGGTGCGCTTTACTGCATGGTGCCATTTCTTGAAGACTCGGGTCCAGCAAAAAGTATGCTCAGTTTGTATACAGTGTGTATACTATACACACGTGTACAACATGAAAAGCCCAGAAGCGGCAATCTACAGCGTGCTCGATGCGCATGTCTGGCCTGTCAACAGAACCGAGAGCTGGTATGTGCTGGCCACGTGTCCACGATATGACATCCTTCGATCGATATATCAAGACCGGATGCATACTCGGCTACAGAGATGCGCTCCTCCCTGGAGAAAGGTCAATGCCAAACGATTTGCAAGAAGCTCAGAAGTCACGTCCATTCATAGCTTTCTTTTCCTCTTAGGCGCACTTCTCAATTGTGGTCAGTTCTATTCATGTGCACATGACGGAATACAGGAAGTGAACTTGAAAGAGCCTCACCAGGCACAACACACGACACGTTTCTCCGTCAAGGAGAGATTATCACATACCTAGACATTCAGAGGTGGATCAGTGGCACTCTTACTGCGATATCTGAGCCTTATATCTGGAAAAGATAGGGAGTGGAAACAGAAGACGCAGTTCTTGGCAGAGGAAGAGGACTAGGAACGAGGGAACCAGAGACCTGACTTGTTGAATGCAGATGTTTGGGATGCTAAAATAGCTCAACGCCAGGCTCGCTTGCACATCCATCTACCCGTGTTAGCAAGATGGATTTGCGCCTGAGATATGTTGCATCGCACCCACTGGGTGGCAAGCTGGGAATGCCGACTGATTTCGCATTGTCGTCGCGGTCTGCCCGCCTTGTTACGGCGTGCGGTAACCTGCTTGTGGATCATGACACATCTACAAATGCATTTCGAGCTTCTACTCGTACTTCCTCTCATATCGACAAAGTTCTTTACGTGGGCGGTGGTCGTTCCTTTTTAGTTTTCATGGACAACGGGCGGGTCGCATCATACGTAGAACGGCTCGCATCTCTACAGCTTGCTGAAGAGAAGGAAATCACTGGGATCGAGCGATCTGTTCGACTGGTCCAAGGTTCATACTTTGGAAAGTTTGCCCTCTTTTGCAAGGTTGACAGTCCCAGTCTATGGTGTTTACCGATTAATGAGAACGGTACAATGCTTGAAGCATTTAAGCTGCGCAGTGATATTGAGGGGGACCAGGAAAACGTTAACTTTGTGGGCGGCGTTGTCGCCAAAGTGCGGGGAAAAGTTGCGTCAAAGCCGAAGTCCCGTATATGTCCAATCGTTGCAATTGCCATGCACCCCAGTCATCCGTTCGCGGCGGCTGCCTACAATAACGGCATTATACGTGTCTGGGACGTTGCGAAAAAGGAACAAAGAAGCCATTTTGATGCGCAGTTACTCATGTCAGAAAAAATCGGAAGCATTGCTTGGCATCCTGTTCTCCCGGTCGTTGTGTTATGCACAAGCCAAGGACGCATCATGACGTTTTACATGAAAGCTGCCCTGTACAAAAGAGGAGATGAACCAGTGCTTGCCACTTCCAAAACAAGAGATCGAAAGCGTCGTTTCCAGGCCATGTGTTTTGTGCACGGAAACCCGGCTTATTTGATGCTCTTGACAGCATCCAGGCGGATTATCGTGCGGATGATAGGCAATCAAAGCCTGATTGTGAATAGTTCTCGCTATGCGAAACCGTCTAGGATTTTACCCCTAGACCATGATTCAAATATGGAAAGTGACCATCCAGGTGTACGGAAGGACGCTGGTCAAGATTTCGCTGTTTTGAAATGTGAGCCAGCTTTTGGCCTCATTGCGGCGTCATTTAGTAATGATGAGAAGGTCTTGGTATTCCAGCCACGAACAAATAGCATCGGGAGTATCCGACCGCCTTTGTCTTCAGGGTTGGATACAGGATTCTCTACAATGCCACATGTTGCATTCACGGGCCCGGTGACAATTCCTTCAGATTCTCTTGTAGTTCACCGCGGTTCTTTGTTCAGATATGAGCTCAAAGATGAGTGTGTTTCTAAAATCTGTGACCTACCGCCCGGCGATTTCTATCGTATCGAGATTGCGAGGGACCAGTACGGCTATTGTTGTGCGGCTCTTGTGTTTTATTTTGCTGATGAAGCATCTTATCCGACGCAACTTTACGAAGAGAGTGAGGATTCTGCCAAGTACGTGTTGTGCACAAGACGTGGGGACGCCGAATTATGGAATGTCTCAGAGGCGAATGAAGGTCGTGCAGGATGCTTTTTGAATGAGATGGGACGAGAGGATCGCATCATCATTCTCGCCAACTCAGGAAGCATGGTGTCCTTGTCCTCCTTTGCGCCCTCGTCGAGCACACTAGGGGAGCCTCCAATGCGTCCAGGTCGTGGAGTGCAGCGCTTTAAACTTGATGGTAGAACTGCGACTCAAGTTTTTCGTGCGCCGTTTGCGTCATGGACTGCTGTCTTGTACTACAGCCCAGAATCACAGCATGTTTGCCTTTCGAAGAACGCGTCGAGTCGAAAGCGCTTATCTCACTCCGGCGAAAGTCAGGACTCGACCTCTATTACAATGACAGAAGTGGATCTTTGTTTAGAGGACCGAACTGCCCTACGACTGCACGAGACAGAAACTGTCGTTGATGTTCGATGGCAAAAGTTGCCCTCTAAAAGAAAGCATGAAACTTATCTCGGTGCCATTATGACGGAACAGAGGATTTATTTCGTTCAAGACATGCTTCTTGCATTGTCTGTTTTCGAATTTCAGAGGAACATTCCCATGGATGCACCGCTTTCTCTTCCCTCGTTTTCATGGGTTGGGCCTGTTGTCATGGTTATATCAGGGAACTCTTTAGTTGCGGTATCTCTAAATGGACGTGCGGATACAATCGCGGGAATAAGCTATGGTCGGAATGTTTCTGCACTAGTTGCTGCACTACCTGATAGAATTGTTTACGCTCGGCCTTGCCCAGAACGGGCGACTACAGCACTCTCAATTTCCTCCCGTCAGTATGGCGCACTGTCAGGTCTGTTAAGGGGAATGTTAACTCTTCCAGATGAGCCCATTCGGGCCGATGTGCGCACCACGGACCAAGTTTATCGCATTCTTGAGCTCCAAGATGTTTCCCAAGGTTCTGTAGAGCTCACGAAAACTTTGATTGCCCACTCTATGTCCCCAGTAGCATATTTACTTGCTACTTCGCAGAAAGGTCGATTGAGTATGCCACCGATTCGTCGCGCAATGTTCATGGGTAGAATGGGAGATACCAGAGAGGCGCTTACAATTATTGAGGAGCAGTGTTCACGTCTTAGTCACGCGAATGCCCTTCACGCGGGTTCAGAGCTTTTCAGGGTTCTGCAAAGAATTCTCAACGTCGCATTTGCTACTGGAGAGTTTTCTATCGGGCGGCGATGCTCTACACTGCTCGGTCGCAGCGGCACATTTTCGGCTTTCGTAGATGTGGAAGGAGGAAACGCTGCTGTGAAATCCATTGCTGACCATGTGCATTCGAATGGAAATACTGCTCTAGCACAGTTCCTTCAAACTTTGATTGAGAAGAGTTCACAGAGCAGTACTGCAATGGATTCATCCATTATTCCATCATTGACAGAACTCCAGAAAATGAGAAGGGCAAGGCAAACAATCGATTTCTCATCAATTTCATTAGGCAATACAAGTACAACTGAAATATTCGTTGCCTCGCCACCGACGCAAGAAGAACACGGGAGCGTAAGTCCAGCTTCTTGCTCTGCATTACCTCAACTGGTTCCTTCTGATATGAGCGAGAGACTTGAAATGTCTCGAAGAGTCATTGAATTGGAGGCTTCAGATTACGTCACGGCGTATGCGGATCTCTCCGATGACACCGAAGTCAGAAGACAAGGTACAGGAACCTCTGCTCCAAGCCTTACTCAAAATCGGACTGTCGAGGGAGGCCTTGACGACTCGTCTGATGAGGAGGCAATTTTCCAGATTCGCAGCAAAGAACCACCACCGCATTCTGCTGACGCAAATATCAGTCCAGAGACCCCCATAGAAAACGCAACTACAGGTATCGTTGAGCGAAATGCAGAAGAAACTCGAAGGAGCATCCGAGCACTGAAAGACGCAACGGCAGGCCCAGTACAGGAAGCCCGTCAGGCTACTCATGAGCTGATGCGGTCTCAGAGACTAGCTGCAGTCGACGGTCAAACAGTTCCAACGCTTCGTGCAAATGAAATGATAGAGAGAGGTACTCTGCGACTCGACGATGGACGATACAGCTCCGCTCAAAAGCACTTTGAGTCAGCTCTACGAGCAATTTCTAGAGGGAAGGAGCGAGGACAGCATACGTCACCTGATCTCATAAGCCAGCTAGTGCACTACAGGCTATTTGCACAGGTGAGAGCAGCAATGGAAGACATTCGAAGCAGTACACATTCAACCACTGCTGCCGGTAAGCAGACCTACACTCAGCTGGCTACCGCGCTTACCGCCTTACCACTGCAACAAAAGCATCGAATAGAAGCACTCGTGATAGCAGCTGACGCGAATATGATGATGAACAATTTCGGGACCGCGGCGCACGCATTGCAAGCGATCAAGGAGATTGGGGTTCCAGAGACCATAAGGCCAGTTCTTCGGGACAAGTACGCCATGTGCGCTGCGAGAGGTTTTGCCAACGCCCAGGAGGAGGCTGTTCCGAAGCTATGCTATCGCACGTTGCGAACTTTCAAGCCTGGCCTTGTACAATTGTCTTGCAATGTCTGTCCTGCAAAATTTCTACCCGACGCAAGCCTTTCTTCAAACGACACATGTCCAATTTGCCGTTGCGGTACTATCAGAGGGGCATGAACACCATTCTTAGCTCCAACGTCGATGTCGTTGTAGTTTTGCTTTTGGGCTTGTGATTCACGATTGTTACTTTGGGACACACAGTAAAGTGTCGACACCTGCTCAACTAAAACCAGCCATTTTGCAGTCACAGTGCTGTGTTCGAGAAGGAACAGCACGACACACACACAGCTGCGGTTGACGAACTCCTAGTTATCAGTGTATTCTACAGAAAATCAGCTTGGACAACAGCCGGAAGGGGTTGCCAGGGCATAAGGCTCGTTAACAGGAAAGCTGGGCGTTTTGATTACTCAACTCCTGCTGCATGCAGCGAATAACATCTTGAAGCTCGCGAAGAACCTTTTCAAGCATAAGGTTCTTCTTGGTGTGCTTCGCTATTGAGGTCTCAAGTTGAATGTTCTTTGTTTTTCGCTTATCCCGGGAGCGCGCAGCACTCTCTCGATTTCTCAACATGCGCTTCTGTTTTGTTCGTTCTTCAGGGGTCATACCCTCGGGATTTGTTGAGGAACCACCTGGAGTTCCTCTACGTTTGCCTTTTGGCATATCACCAATAATAGCTCCCGCGCCCCCAGTCGATGCATTCAAATGACTTTCTATGGTTGCTCCCTCGGAACCACTAGCGGGAGGTACCAGGCCAGCACTGGTAGAATTTGTGAGATCTGGCACCATACTCGTAGCCACAGTGCTCTGCGGTGGAAGCGGGAGAACTCCCATCGGCGCTATCCGGACAGCACGCCGTCCCACGGTCATTGGGACTGATACCATGGAGGGAGACATGATGGGAGCCCCATTTGCAGCCAAAGGAGCGAATGCTGTGAACTGCGCTGCACTAACAGACAAACTTGACGGGATTTGAATACCAGGAACGGTCGACGTCGCGATAGCAGAAGATGCAGCAGCCGGAGAGGCAGAGGCCAACGCCTGATCTGGTGGCGGCTTTGCATCCCTCCCAGCTGTATCAGTTTTTGTTTGAGAATTCGCCGGTTGCTGCTGCCCAGGTGCAGGCGTTAGTCCTGTGGTGTCCATTGCCGTGCCAGCAATCTCCACATGATCGGCCTCCTCCACTTGGTCATCTGAAGAGCTGCGAATTCCTGCTCCTGGATCTTCCGTATAAAGCTGGACAGTATTGACATCGTCTGGATCGGCTCTGTTATCAGGCAGGTCCTCGGATGATTTCTGAGCGGACTGATGTTCAGCCTCAGGGCGATCGACGAAGACATGGTCCATGTCCTCCGCGGTGTCCAAACCGCCATCTATTTCCTGTGAACCTAGTTGCGCACGACCATCCAATGATGTCTCCTGTGCTTCTGCAATTGGAGACTCAGACATGCTTGCTTCAAAATGCAGAGGTGACAGACTAGGTGCTATGAAACCGGGACAATGGCCAAGATTGGGCTGTGAATTCAGATGGCAGTTGAACTTGAATCTCTGTGCGGAAAAACTGGTACGATAGTCACTGTGTATGTAGGGTTTGTATTTCCGATGCAGTGTCTCGTTTCGTGAGATATTGACGAATCATTACAGTGGCTACCGATCATTAATGCACACCGCTGTCAGGTACAAAAAAGGTGCAATACTCCTCGACTGCAATGCTCTATGATCGTTCTTTGCTGTACAATCAGCAGTCAATAGTGTTGAAAAAACAAGAAGACATTTATTACCTAATAATGATTCTAGACCCAGAGGTATTTACAGTGAATGATTACCCGAATGATTAAATCGCCCGAAACGGTAAATTCGCAACTGTTGCCCGCCTTCGCGTGGCGCAAGTGGTCAGTACCTTTGTATTGGGGAAAACAAGCAATCTGCTTGCAAGATGAAGGTCTCCCGAAATCTTGCGGAGCCTTGAGCCAAACATTCTTCATTGGTTAAGCCACTCGAGAAGAAGTAACACATACTGGTGTGATGACTGAATAGTATAACTGAGAGTATAACTGAGAGAAAGAAGTGGGAGAACAGGTGATGAATTGAGGAGAGAGAAGAAGGCATTGAACGCCCGAGTACCACTCCTTGTACAGCCCTTTTTCGGCTGTGCCCAATTCCTTCTCATCTGCAACATTGTTACTCGCAAGAAAAATAGAAAACACCAAGTCGCAATTTTCAGTTGTCCTAGCAGTCGCGAAACCCCTTTAAGTTGAAAGGCAATTCAAAATAGTGAGAAGGTAAAGTTGAGACGACATCCCAATCTTAATCGCTGCCATCCAACTAAAAAGTATATTTTGAGCGATTCACAGTACGGTATCCCTTGCCGTTCTAAAGTGAAAAGATGATCAGACATGAAATTAGAAGATATCGGAAACTGTAGCGGCCCGTTTCTCCAACAATAAAAACAGGGGAATCTCATCCTTGCTTTCGGTGAGTTTTTGAGTGGGATGAAGCTTTTTTATTGTTAAAATTGAGAGAGCAGTGTGTGAATGAAATGCGAGAGAAGATCGATATCTTCACAATCGTTTTCATGGTAAGAAGAAAGAAAGGATTAAACAGAAACATTGCCTGCATCTGCATTTATGCGTATGAGGGACTCCGTGCAGATGCACGGAGTCCCTCATACGCATAAATGCTTTTTGCTACCTTGTTCAGACTTTACTGAACCAGTCGAAAGAAAGAGCACTACTTTGTCCTTCATAATGAGCGCGACGGCGGGAAGCCATTGCTTAGAGGAACGGGTAGTCCTACACATACGGAGACGCATGCCACATACGGAGACGCATGCCACGAAGGAGAGCACGAAATGGATGGACGATGGGCTTTAGTAGAAATGCAAACTCACATACGGTATCGTTCAGATGTAGGATGAAGAAGGAAAAACGGATTGAACAGGCGTTCAGAAGGGAGAGACGCTGTTGAACACATAACCAAATGTAGAACCTGAACAGTGCCACAAGTAAAGCCAAAAAAACGGTTCGGGATTAGTAGTTAAAATTCTAAAACTTTTGTAGATGATTTTATGCAGAAATTAGTCGTTGCGAAAACGGCCACACAGGGTGATGACGTGCAGAAAAACCCAAATTTGAACAGCATGGGAACAGTCGTTGACAGGCATCAGTCGAACTGAAGGCGCATGGTCGGGGGTATGCTCATCCAGCAATGCTGTCCCATGGCACCCTCCAAATACAGCCTCCTGTTTTCTGGGGACCACAGCATGTTATTTCTCCAGCAACCTTGTTCCCTTCCATACAAGCTCCCCCTCACTTTTTGCACACAACACTTAAGACAACCCGAACCCCCGCTCGCACTATTCACTTCGCCTGCTTCTCTGCGACAACTTTTCACCTCATACCAACTCCCTTCCCGAGGTGCGTTCTCGTTTGCTGAGTCCGGGACGAGTTGGATTGACATTTCTGCATCATAATTGCGAAGTACCCACTCATTTTGATACTTGGATACACGGACTGCCGTTCACACTTTTGCGACCTCCTATCACAGTATGAAGCGTTCTTCTTCAAAGCTCATCGGCAAGGCGAGCTCCATGCGCAATTTGAACAAGCTGGGGTACAAGTTCGGGTTCGACCTCCACATCGAGTCTGTGGACAAGATTATAGCGTCAAGTGATGTTGTCGTTACCTGGGAACGGGGAGCCAAGGTTCTGTCAACGAAGGCTGCAAAAATTGACAGGTCCTCTCGCATCGCTCATTTCGGAGGCGAAGTTCTTTCACAAGAAGTCACCCTCTTCAAGAAGAAGAAGGAGGGCTCCAACTTCGAAGACAAAGTCTACAGGCTTGCCGTTCGTCAGAACTCTCAGCGTGGTAAGATTATCGGTAAGATTGAGCTCAATTTTGCCGATTATGTTGAGATTCCGTCATACTCGAAGCGCGTGGGCGCCCCGCTTTCCTCTGGTGGCCGTATCGTCATGCGCGTCGTTTCCACGTTTCTCGCAGAGGCAAAAAATAGGAAAACCTCTCGCGGCACAGCCTCCTTAGGCTCTCACGATCCGGGATCAGATGGCCAGTCATCTACAGTCGGAGATGACGACGAAAGGTCGGAAATCGATGCCGGTGATTCTCTGGACGACATCGGTGTTGACGATGCTACTCTTAACGTGCAACCACCGCAACCTAAATTGCAGCAATACTTGAGAAAACCCTCGATTCGTAATCGTCAAGGGAATACACCCGCTCCTGAAGACCCTGTACAGAAGCCAAAGATACAGCGCAAGCCATCTGCGTCACCGAGAACCGCGTTTTCAGGGACTGACTCGTCACTTGGAACCTCACACAGCAGTCGTTTTAGAAGTACTGAGACGGACGTCGGTGCCACTAACACGGCAGGACCATCACGGGTTGAGTTTGACAAGCTGCGTAGGGAAAATCGAGCGCTCAGGCGACAGAACGATGACCTTCTTCAAGACAAGGAATCGCTTGAACGGGAGCTAGAGGACAGCCGGTATGGAGAAGACGCAGAATCTCTTAAAAAACTGATGGCAGAAAACACAGCTCTGAGACGAGATGTAGGAGATCTGGAGGTAAAGCTTTCAAGGGAGCCCGTCTATTCAGATGTCGTGCGTGATTTGCGAGAGGCGAAAATGGCACTTGCTATTCTAACTTTGGAGAAGGATGAGCTTCACCAGCAATTGCGAAAGCTGAGGAGGGGTTAAGCAGTGACAGAACGGTGTTCCTGCCAGTGAGCGGTCAGGAAGCCGGTCGGGGAGTACTGCCACTGCAGATGCGACTTATTTGGCCCCATGAAAGGGGGCCTTCATGCTTGGTAGATATAACTTGAAGATGGTTGGGGTTCGGTTGACTACTAGTTCGACTTACGTGTGTAGCACGTTAACTACAGCATCCCAGACATATATAAACGTGGAAATGACTTTTTGAACAACGAGAAAACGTTGCATCATCTTCGTTTATTGTGGGAGGGCAGACGACCAGGATTGCCCCCGAAATAATATCTACCTACGGTACTGTACATAGGCAAATCTCGCTCCGAGTTGATATAAATACAGACACAACATCGAACTCTCGAGGGCAGAAAACCTTACCAGCTGCTTCCGCCACCGCCACCGCCAGCACTGCTGCCACCTCCAAAAGCGAAAGAACTGCCATCAGCTCCCGACCGCCGCGCCTCAGTGACAGCAGCCGGATCCAACCGCGTCAATTCCGGACTTGTAGTCATGGGCGTTTGATCGCGTCGACGTGAGTTCCAGTCGTTCATCATGTCGAGTGTGATAAAATCGCTGTAGTAATGCTGAGCCCTTCGCATGCGAAAGTTATACTCCGGTTCATAAACATCCCAGCCACTGGGTTGACCGTTGTTCGTTCGGGCCTCGACTGTTTCCGGCTCCAGGACCGATTGCCTGCAGATAGGACACTGTGAGTTAGTTTGCTGTGGAGTAGAAAACCATTGTAAAATGCATCTCTCGTGGAACTTATGCCCGCACGGAAGAATCTTGACAGCATCTTCCCCCTCACTCGTGACGTCTTGCTCCATGGTGCCCGTGCCTGCGTTCGCAGTACGAAGGCCATTTCCGGCTGAAACAGACTTGACATTATGCTCAGAGCTCCCCACGTTAGTCGACTTCGGCCCGTTCGTATCAATTTCCACAAGCGGCTGGGCTTCCTCTTCTTCCGTGTCCTCGTTATCCTCATCTCTCGACTGCTTAAAGTCATTCAGACAAATAGGACAACTGGTGACAACGAACTGGTTGTTCTCCGCACAAGCGCGGTCCTTATCGATGTTCTCGAGTGCCTCCTTACATCGCTTAAACTTCTGATTTCTGCGGGCGTTCCTAGCAATCAAAGCGAGAAAGCCCGCCCCAAAGAACATGGGCAGAAAGATGGACCCCGATGAGTTTTCCTCCACTGGCTGAACCTCCATGCCGCTAACAATATTGCCGATGGCGTGCACGCCGTCCACTATGGCCTGCCCGTACTCGCCTTTCCTCAACTTGGGCTTCATAATGCCCATGATGAGCGGAACCATGTCCGTCCTCAACACATGCTTGACTCCCCTGCCCACAGACAGACCCATGACGTGATCACGCAAGGACAAGAACAAGACGACGCCGTTCTGACACTTGACGTCGCCGACGCCCCAACGATCGTGTAAGTCCTTTGCAAACTCAAAGGCGCGGTTCTCCTTTGAGCCAAGGCAGAGGCCGCAGTCCATCTTTTCGACGACGGCGACTGCGAGCTGGGCACCGGCCAGGTCAGAGTGGGCGCAAGTTAGCTTTGTATAGCCGTGGGTGCCATCGTGGATGAAGTTAATGAAGCCGTCGATGGTGTCGGCGTCGGACAGCGAAAGAAGGCCGTCGGGGTCGCACACGGACGAATGCAAGCCGCCACGGCCGCATAGACCCGCGGGGTCGTCTTGGGGGTTCGGGAGCTCTGTCGACTTCCATGAGGTGGCCGAGGTGTGCAGCAGGTGCAGGAGAAGCAGGAGGAGGAGGAGAAAGGGGCGCGCAGACGCCATGGTGGGGGGGGGGATTTAGGGGAAGGGAAGCTAGGGAAAGCGGTGGGCGTTGTTAGAGTGGGTATGTGGGTTGAGAGAGGGAGGGAGGACGGAACGTTGGTGTTGACCAAGGGGGAAAGAAGGGGACGAAGTGAAGTCGGAAAAGAAGTTGACGGACTGGTTGGGGAAAAGTAGTTTGCAGTACAGGGGTCGAGGTTGGCAAGGGCTGCCCCGCTGTGGCAACTGTGTTCGCTGGCGACGTGTACACGTATCAGGCAGCGAAGATACTGTAAATGCCTCAAAATCATCACCCTCACCGACAACCATCTAACCAACATCTACTGTCCATCTAAACCAACCCACAACTCATCCCACACCGAGTAAAATACACCCGATGCCCAACCATTGCTCCACAATAAAATACCTCTCCCCACCATCCGCCCCACGACCACCTCCTCGCCCCGCAACCGCCTGCAAACCGCCCCCTAGCTGCGCCTAGTTGACGTAATGATTGATCCCATATCCATGCGGCAAGATGAACTTCTGCACCATCCCTGCATGGTGCATGCCCCTCCCATATTCCCCGGGACTAAACTTCCCGGGGATGCCCCCGACAAACTTGGGCTTCATGAACTGCCCCACGGCGTCCAGCCCCGGCCCGTCCTTGAGCGCCTTCCCGTACACGTCCGTATAAACCCCCCTCTAAACCTGTCTCCTAACCCACACCGCCCCGCGTTCACCTTCAGCCGCCTGACCCGCACCGTCCGCTTGAGCGCGAGGTTGAGCAAGAACACCCAGATCCTGTACCGGTCGCCGAGCCACACCGTCGCCCGGTCTGCCATCGACGTTATCCCGGTGATCGGGTTCTGCACGTCTAACGTCAGCTCGCCACCCCTCTCCGTCGTGGCGCACGGCGTGCTGCACACTCACTCCTCGTACGTCCCCGCGCGCGCCGGGTAGTTATTCTGAATCCGCCCGTCCAGCACGCGCACGTTCACCACGTTGATCGTTCGCAACGCCCGCGCTTACGGCTTGTGCCGCCGCTGCGCCCGCGCCAGCGACGCACCTCCACGCGTCAGCGCCATCATCTCTTCCTCCCGCCCATGCTTGCACGTCGCTAGAAACCCGAAGTCTCCCTTGCAACTCTGCTCCGCAAGCAGCTCGCCAAACCCCTTCTGCTTAATTCGCGCATGGCGGCGCACGCGGGCGAGGCGCCGAATCCGCGCCGCACGGGCAGCCGCCGCGCGCCCTGCGAGAGGCAGAGCGACAGGGCGCGGAGAAGGGCGGGGAGGAAGGCGGGTGAGGTCATGGCAGCGAGCTGTGTGGGGCCGGGCGGGGACGAGCTGAAGAAGGTAGACGCGGCAAAAAGGCGGGTTCAGAATCGCGTGACCGCGCGTCACTGTATGTCATCCTAGTGGGCACTGGGAGCCCTCTGATTGGTGCCCGACGGCTACGATTTGAGGCCGTGAGGGGTGCGGGGAACCGTTCTTGTGCACACGCTTCTGTATACAGAAGCGTGTGCACAGAAAAGTTTGAGTGAGCGCTGTAGTCCCCAAAATGCGAAATCGCCTATAAGCGATTTCGCATTTTGGGGACTACAGCGCTTTTCTGTTCGGCCAAGGTTGGGCACCCCCCCCCAAAAAATGAGCTGCAATCGACGTGGTGGGGCCGCCGTCATCTGATTGGCTACATGATGCCAGCAAGGTGGGGCACCCCTTTCTGGTCCATCATGTATGAAACCAATTAGTATGATATGCACCCAATTTACCGTGCGGTAGAATGTCGCCTCGCCAGCCTTTTGAGGCATTTATGTGGGAAATTATGGTATGACGGTGACGCATACAGGACGAATAAAATGCACCACAACGCAATTAATCGCACGAATCATGCACCCCGTGGATCAATGGATTGACAGAAGCCACAATGAGGATACGTCACGTCAGAAGTAGAGGGAATGTGGGAAATTATGGTATGAAGGTGACGCATACAGGACGAATAAAATGCACCTCAACGCAATTAATGTAATGCACAACAACGGGAGCATTTTAATAATCTCAGCTGTCAACATGCAGTGCATCCTCTCCTAAAAATGCTTCGATAGTGCAAAACATTACGTGAGGAGAGGACAAAGCACCTGGCTGAAGTAGTATAAATAAGGGAAGAGTCGAGGCAGACTAGCTGCCAAGACAAGCGAAAAACAAAAACGAAGCCACGACAATGAAAAGCGCGATTCCCCTCATTCGCCCGGTCCTGCCGGTTAACCTTTATTGTTCCCTCCTTTCCTTTTATTTTTTGCGACAGTCTAGACTTTAAGCTTAATAGTTTTCTTTGCAGAAGAAAAAAACAACCTCAAGGATCTTGGAATTGTTCAACGTTTTGGAATCGCCACGAGAGTGGTCTCCCTACCTCTTCTTTGATATTAACGCACTACAGTTTATCAATTAAGAGGTATAGCCATCATCCTTTTAAGGATAACTCTCACCGAAAAAATACAAGTATAAGTTCTTTGTTTTTTCGCTACCTTTAATATAGGAATCGAGTTGCCTAACTAATTTCTATCCTAGTGGTATTAAATTCAGAAACAATGAGTAAACTCGGGGCACCGACCGCCCTTGCAGAAGACCCAGAAGATCCCACCCTTGGCGCACTGTCTCTACCCCGCACACCTGAGGTAAATTGGGAAAGCGACGAGGAGAACTCCGTCTCCGTACTGGACCTCGTCGAAGAAGAAGATACCCCGGCAGACCAACCGAGGCCGGAGGACAAGGTTTTTGGAGAGGAAGCGGAAATTGACGCACTAGGGGCGGGACAAAATTTACACGTGGACAACGCTGTTCGTATTTTTAATCAAATTAAGTCTCGTTCCACTGTAGTGAAGGTACCATTATCTACGCTACCTGAATTCGTCAATCGAACGCTGTACCGCGTGGCTACGACGCGCATCCAGAAAACGAAGCCCCCTTCTCACTCGCTCACGTTCCGCGTGTGCCAGGTCACCGTTACCGGTACCCATCAGCTAGGTCAGCACCAGGGTGGCAAGAGGCACCTCGCACGCGAAGCTCGCTATAAACGCGAGAGCGAGGACCACTACTGCGCTACCTGCGAGAGGTTTTTTCCCTCCGCGCACGACTTGGCGTCCCACTTCATTGGCGCCAACCACCGCCGTCGAGTCTTATATTTGCGCGAGCGTAAAATAACGCGCAGTAATTAGATTTTTTAGTAACAAAAATTTTTTGGTTCATTTTCCAAAACCCTCCCCGAAAATTGAAACACAAGTTTAAAAAACTTTTCCGAAAACATTTTTTGCTGTTTTTTGAAAAGTCGAATTACAGTTTGTTGTATCCTACTGCAATTGCCCCCCCTACGTGGTACACTACACTCTCCACACACACCTCCCACACGTGTGGACTCTAACACGTGTGGAAATTGAACACGTTTGGCAGGTGTTCTTCGCGCACAAAATCGGATACGTGTCACACATTGCACTAGGTGTGGAAATTGCACACGTGTTTACTACTGTACTAGCTGTGAGCGTTGCACACCTGTACGCGTATTCAGCTGGAATTAGTGTGAGCCATAAAAAAGTCAAAATTTCAGTATAATTGTAAGGTTGCAGAAAGCATATTTTTCTAAGGCTAAAGTAACTTACTTAATTACTTACTGGAGACTTTAACTCACCAAACACTATGGATAACGGAATTGACGAGGCAGCTATAGAGACCATCACCAAGGAACTTAAAACGTATACACCACCATCTCCAGTTCACAATGATATCATTTCAGTTATTACGCTACACATTACTCGCGCAAGATCTGATAATATTTTGGACACAGAACTAGTAGAAAGATTACGTGAAGACCTCCCTGTTGAAACTCTATATTCCTTCGAAGTACTGAAGGGCACCACGTTCGTTTTCAGAATCATCCGTGAGTTCTTACGTGCAGAAGGTGTAGAGTATATCAGACATCCCGCAACTGACCGCATCTCATGGGGATTAGTAAAAATGTTGTACTCAGACTCAGACGACATCAATTTTGCTTACGAAAGGCTTGTTCAACACAAGAAAAGTAGCCGAGCATGTATGCCTACTAACAAGGAAATTGAATGTCAAGCCGGCCCACCAGTACAAGTTTATCCCCCTGTGAGACGTGACTCCGAAGCAAGAGCCGCTCACAACATGGCATTGCGATTCAAGAACCAGGATAAATGCACCGGAAAACTGGGTGAGGACCTCACGGAACACATCAATAACTATATTGATGCCGCCCAGGACTACAACCTTGACCAAACCAACAAACTTGCCTTTTTCCACAACATATTCGATGGAGAAGCTAAGAGATTCTATCGGGAGAAGGTGAGAGACAGGTGTGAAAATTTTGGTCAGGCATGCCAAGTTATGCAAGACGAATACAACAGCATAACTCGGCAGAACAGAATCAGGAAGTACGTCCAGAGCCTGAGAATTCAATCTTTGATGCATGCCAAGAAGCTCAACACCGCAGAAGCTTTGGAAGAGTTACGTGAGATCATTGTGGGATAACTCCTCTCCGCCCTGGGTTGGGTGAGAGGCGGAGGCTATAGCGAGGGAGCACGCGGCGTGGACGCGACGCGCTAATTGAACCGATTGGACGAGCTCGCGAAAAGGGAGTGGCTCACTGGCCGGTTACGCGCAGTCGCCCCGTGGTGCGAGAACGGGAGCGACCGGTAACGGGATAGAAGCCAGCGCGCGCGACAGACAACCGAAAACGGACGTACGTAGGCGCGAAAGGGACGGGGGCGAGCTTGCCCCAGTTTACCGGTAGGGACGGGTGTCAGGTCTTAACCCCTCAGAGGGACGCCTCGGACACCTGTCCCAGTACAGTAGTACAGTACCTGTCGCCTAGTGCGTGCCGGGTACTGTACACAATTAAAAAGCTAGCGCCATAATTACTACTACCGCACGGACGCTGCTACTACACGTGTGCATTACTGTACACGCGTGTTGCTTACAGACTACCGCACGGACGACACGTGTGCTAACGCGCACACGTAACAGGCGTAGACTACCGCACGGACGACACGTGTGCTACGGTACACGTGCGCCACGCCACGGCCGGTTAGTCAACGCGCGCGCTCCGTACACGTGGGCACACCCGCCCACGTGTGCACCGTGCACGGCCGCACGGTTAATATCCTCTCCGCGCGCGACACGGTCGTTATACTACAGACCCCCTTCCTTAGCTTTCGCTACGTCCCCGAAGCGACCACTTCTCCGACCACACGGCTCCTTTGCGGTCTCTCTTCTTTCCTCCGCGCGCGATGCGAAGTCCAAAGCGCGTGCGTGCGGGCGGACTTTTC